GGACCTGTGGGAACCCATTCTCGGGTTCCTCGTGGCTTTACCCAGCAGGTCCGCATAGAGGATGATTAGGACCATGGGCCTGAGTGCAGGTGTCTGAGATGGTCTGCACTTGGCTGTGCTTGGGGAGGAGGTCTTTTGCTCCACCCCTTGGCATCTCTCTAAAAACCCTGGGGTGGCCGGAGAAATGGCTCAGGGGTTAAGAGCACTGACTGTTCTTCCAGAAGTCCTGAGTTCAAGTCCCAGCAACCACATGGTGGCTCACAACCATCTATAATGAGATCTGGTGCCCTCTTCTAGCCGGCAGGCAGAACACTGCATACATAATAAATAAATAAAATATTAAAAAAAATAAAAACCCTGGGGCAGAGACAGTTGGGGCCCATTGGAAAAGGTTCCAGGCCCTCTCAAGGCTATCCTTTATTTTCTATCTGTTTATCTCTGCGATATTCTTCACAATAAATCCTTCTATCTAATATTTCCTGCTGCTCATACACAAGAAAACTCTGGGGAGCTGTGGGGGTGGTGGGTAAATCACAACAAACCCAGCCCTACAGAAAGCACTAGAAGAAAAATTCCAACCTAAGGAAGTCAGATACACCCCCCCCTCCAAAGCACAGGCAATAGATAATGCCACAGCAATAAACCCCCAAAAAGAGAAGTACACACACACTACCACCAAAAAAATATCAGGAATGAACAATTACTCGTCATTAATATCCCTTAATATCAATGGACTTAATTCACCTATAAAAAGACACAGGCTTACAGAATGGATACAAAAGCAGGACCCATCTTTCTGCTGCATACAAGAAACACACCTCAAGTTCAAAGATAGACACTACCTAAGAATAAAAAGCTGGGAAAAGACTTTTCAATCAAATAGTCTTAAGAAGCAAGCGGGTGTGGCCATCCTAATATCCAGCAAAATAGACTTCAAACTAAAACCAATCAAAAGAGATCAAGAAGGGCATTACATACTCATCACAGGAAATATCCACCAAGATGAAGTTTCAATTCCGAACATTTATGCCCCAAACACAAGGGCACCCACATATGTAAAAGAAACATTACTAAAGCTTAAACCACATATAAAACCCCACACATTAATAGTGGGAGACTTCAACATCCCACTTTCACCACTGGACAGATCTGTCAAATCGAAACTTAACAGAGAAATAAAGGACTTAACTGATGTTATGACTCAAATAGACCTAATCAATATCTACAGAACATTCCATCCTAACAAAAAAGAATATACCTTCTTCTCAGCACCCCATGGAACCTTATCTAAAATCGACCGCATGTTTTGGAGAACGTCCCTCTGTCAGATGTGGGGTTGGTGAAGATCTTTTCCCATTCTGCAGGCTGTTGTTTTGTCTCATTTACTGTGTCCTTTGCCTTATAGAAGCTTCTCAGTTTCAGGAAGTCCCATTTATTAATTGTTGCTCTCAATGTCTGTGCTACTGGTGTTATATTTAGGAAGTGATCTCCTGTTCCAATGCGTTCTAGGCTATTTCCTACTTTCTCCTTGAAACGGTTCAGTGTAGCTGGATTTATGTTGAGGTCTTTGATCCACTTGGACTTGAGTTTTGTGCATGGCAACAGATATGGATCTATTTGCAATCTTTTACATGTTGACATCCAGTTATGCCAGCACCATTTTTTTAAGATGCTTTCTTTTATTAATTGCACACTTTTGGCTTCTTTGTCAAAAACTCAGGTGTTCATAGGTGTGTAGATTAATGTCAGGATCTTCCATTTGATTCCATTTTTGGACATGTCAGTTTTTATTCCAAGACCAAACCATTTTCATTAATATAGCTCTATAGTAGAGCTTGAAGTCAGGGATGGTGGTGCCTCCAGAAGTTGCTTGATTGTAAAGAATTGTTTTAGATATCCTAGGTTTTCTGTTTTCCCATATGAAGTTGATATTGTTCTTTTGAGGTTTGTGAAAAATTGTGATGGGAGTTTGATGGGGATTGCATTAAATCTGTAGATTTCTTTTGGTAAGATTGCCATTTTTATTATGTTGGTTCTACCTATCCTTGAGCATGGATGGGAGAGCTCTCCATTTTCTGATATCTTCTTCAATTTCTTTCTTCATGGACTTAAAGTTCTTATCATATAGGTCAGCAGAAGGATGGATCCTGTTTTCGTATCCATTCTGTTAGTCTGTGTCTTTTTATAGGCGAAACAGGTCCATTGATATGAAGGGATATTAATGGCCAGTGATTGTGAATTCCTGTTATTTTTTGGTGGTAGTGTTGTGTGTTTCCCTTCTTTGGGATGTGTTGATGTGGGATTATCTATTCCCTGTATTTTCATGGGTGCAACGAACTTACTTAGGTTGGATTTTTCCTTCTAGTGCTTTCTGGTGGGCTGGATTTGTGGACTGTAACTGGAGTGTTTCTCTCCAGCTCCTGCCAAGCCCCAGCAGTCCCGCAGCCCACTTATAAAATAAACACACAGACTCTTATATTATTTAAACTGTTTGGCCTAATGGCTCAGGCTTCTAGCTATCAATTTCTTACATCTTAAATTAACCCATTTCTATTAATCTATACCTTGCCACATGACTCATGACTTACCAGTATCTTACATGTTGGTACTCATGGTGGCAGCTGGCAGTGTGTCCTGACTCAGCTTTCCTGTTCCCAGAATTCTCTTCTCTGCTTGTCCCGCCTATACTTCTTGCCTGACGACTGGCCAATCAGCATTTTATTTATACAGAGCAATATCCACAGCAGTTTAAATCTGGTTTTATCATAGAATATCTTATTTACTCCATCTATGGCAATTGAGAATTTTACTGGGTATAATATTCTGAACTGGTATTTATGGTCTCTTAGTGTCTTCATATGTCTGTTCAGAACCTTCTGTCTTTCAGAGTCTCCATTGAGAAGTCAGATGTTATTCTGATGGGTCAGCCTTTATGTTACTTGACCTTTTTACTGTGCACTTCTTAGTATTTTTTCTTTATTCTGTATAGTTAGTGGTTTGATTATTATGTGGCAAGGAGAGTTTTTTGGTCCAGTATATTTGGTGTTCTGTAAGCTTCTTATATCTTCATAGACATTTCCTTCTTTAGGTTGGAAAAGTTTTCTTATATGATTTTGTTGAATATATTCTGTGTGCCTTTGAGCTGGTATTCTTCTCTTTCTTCTATCCTTATTATTCTTAGGTTTGGTTTTTTTTTTATGGTGTTCCAGATATCCTGGATGTTTTGTGTTTTGATTTTGTAGTCTTTAATGCTTTCTTTGACTGATGAATCTATTTCCTCTGTTGTACCTTCAATACTGGAGATTCTCTCCTCTATCTCTTGCATTCTATTGGTTATGCTTGCATGTGGAGTTCCTGTTCATTTAATCAGGCTTTCCATTCCCAGTATTCCCTCCATTTGTGTCTTCTTTATCACCTCTATTTCAGTTTTCAAGTCTTGAGCTGTTTCATCCATGTGTTTGATTGCTTTTTCTTATTTTTCTTGACTTTCTTTAAAGGATTTATTGATTTCTTCCGTTTTTTTGTTTGTCTTTTTCTCAGTTTCTTTAAGGGGATTTTTCATTTCCTCTTTAAAGACCTCTATCATCTTCTTAAAGTCGTTTTAAGGTCATTTTCTTCTGCTTCTTCTATATTGGGATGTTCAGGTCTTGCCGATGTAGACCCACTAGGTTCTGGTGGTGCTACATTGCTCTTTATGCTATTGAATATATTCTTGCACTGGCATCTATCCATCTCTTCCTCCAGTTGGTGTTAGTGGTGTCTGTGTCTCACGGAACCTCTCTTGGTTCACCTGACACTCTTGGTCCAATTAGAGTTCTTTGTCAATTGGAGCTGGTGGAATCTGTGTCTCAGGGAGAGGCTGCAATATCAAGGATGGGTGGTTTTGAGGGTGGGTAGAGTGGGGCTTGTAAGTTACAGGTTCTAATGAGGGGGTGGTAGTCAAGCCTGCCTACTGGCCTGTAATTGGGGCTGCAATGGGTGGGGTTATGGTGGCACAAGTTGTGCCCTTGGGCCTAAAGCCTTGAGTGATTGGGAGACTTTTAATGACTTCTTTTATATCCTTAGGGGTTATAGGTCTTTTTAAAGTGTTTATCTGTCCTTGCTTTAACTAGATGGTAACAAGGACACCAGAAGAACATGACCCACAGAATCTACTAAGTGGGCTCATAGGGGCTTACAGAGACTGAAGTGATAATTGCAGAGTCTGCATAGGTCTGTGTGAGATCCTCTGCAAATGTCGTGGTTGTTAGTTTGGCATTTTTGTGGGACTCCTAACGGTGGGAGAGGGGATATTTCTGACTCTTTCACCTGCTCTTCGCATTTTTTCCCTCCTACTGGGTTGCCTTGTCCAGCCTTGATATGAGGGTATGTGCCTAGTTTTATTTCACCTTGTTATGCCACATTTAGTTGATATCCCTGTGAGGCCTGCTCTTTTCTGAAACAGAGGAGGAGTGGATCTGTGGGAGAGGAGAGGTGGTGGAGGGAAACGGGAGGAGAGGGGGGAGGGAAAGCTATAGTCAGGATGTATTGTGTGAGAGAAGAACAAATAAAATATAATAAAGAGAGACTTTACAGTTCATGTTCCTTTATAAAAATGAACTGTTCTAGTCTCTTCTGCTTTAAATAATCTATAAAGATAACAGTTCCAGAGACCTCATTTCTAAACTCAAAAGTTAAGGAGTTGAGGACAGCCATCTTAAGAGATCTGTGTATATACACCAAACAACTGAGACAAAATGTCATCATCTGCCATAATTTACATTGTCAGATTCTGCCTTAAGTCTAATGACTTCCTAACACTGTGGTTCTTGAGTACCTTATGGTAGAAGAAGACCTTTTTATTAACATTAATATAAAGATTGTGAGTAACAAGTTGCTAAATGATACAGTGTGTGTGTGTGTTGATGTGTCAGATAATATTATAAGATGACCCCACAACCTTCCATGAATATGGAGTTTCCCAGACCCCTCTAAACTAAAGTATCTATGTATTTGCTCAGTTCCTCAGAGATTGCAGAGAGGAAACAGTCCAGCTCTAAGGAAGTATTGTAGAGGAGATCTTCAATCAGCGCCAAGGAAGCTGTGAAGAGGAGTCTTCAATCCTCTTCAGCCCTTAAGATTGGCTTGCAGTCTCAACTCAGGAACCTGAGACAGTAAAAAAAGAGAGAAAAGGATTCTGATTTGAACTATAAAATTTATATCTGCAAAATATACAATTGAGAGGTTCTTTGATCAAAATTGGTTCTGTCTAAAAAGTGTAGATTTTTAAAAATTTTTAAATTAAAATATAATTACATTGCATCTCCATTCTCTTTCTTCTCTATCTCCTTTAAGGTATCCTCCTTCCAAGCCTTCCCATGCCCCCTCAAAATGATAGTCTCTTTTTCTTTGATTATTTTTGTTAAACACACACATATGTATATGTATGCATAGATATATAAATACAACGTGCTGAGACTGTTTTTTTGTTGTTTGTATATGTATTTTCAGGGCAAAAATGACATTTTTATTTTGAGCTTTGTCATCATATAGATGCCAGTGAGTGTCCATGTGGCCTGTGATGCATACTTTCCTCCACATCTTAAACTCAGTAAGGATTGAATCAACATGAATTTGTTTAAAATGATTCTTTGACAAATTTTCTTCAAATGTGAACATAGGATTTCACTTTTGAAGAAAGTGTCACTAAGGCAGTAAAAACGATACAAAACTTTAGGGAAATGTATTTTAAACCAAATAATACACTTTTATATAAAGCGAATGTTTAGCAGCAAGATGAAATATTCTCCTAGACTTCAAAAATTCTAAAAATATATTACCTATGTATTATTTGCTATTTTCATATAATAGTATCAAAGTAAATATAATAGTATCATAAATAATAACTCCTGGGTATGAGAATACCTACACATATAGAAAGGTAACTAATAAACATAAAATGAATCAGCCGGGCAGTGGTGG